AAAGAGTGACAAATCAGCTTCAATAAAGATACAGGGATCACAGTTTGACTTTCCTTGGAAATGCAATTTTATGACTTGGTTCAGGAGATGCAGCACTGTCAAGATTTCAAGCTCTAAAGATCTGCACGCAACAGCAGGTGAACCAATCTAGCACTTTCCCCCAGCTGGTACTGATACTAATTCTTGTTTTGCAGTAATTAAAAGCACCAGCTTGACAGGGGCCCATGCTGAAACATTACTTCACTCTTCTGTCACATTTAACCTGCATTGACTGTGTACACTGATGAGTGGCAATAAAAATATGGTCAATTACTAAATGCTCCTCATTGTATCATCATAAGCATTGTCTTCCTCTCCTTCCTCTACCTAAACCTTAAACAGGGTAGGGATAGCATGAGGAACCGCACTGATCAGGACGGACAGGACTAAGTGGATGCAGAAGAACCACCAGAGTACTACATGGAGTTTCATATGTTTACTATGGTGTGATGAAAGAAGACAACCAGGTCACCAGCTGGAATTGGTTTTGGAGAATAATGCTGCTGGACTCATCTCTGACATTGGCTTTAGTAACTGGGGTCCATGTGGTTCTTGTACTGTTCTGTGAGTAGGTGCGTCTGATGGATAAACTGTGTTCTGTGTGTCAAGTGGGCAGTTATAGAAATGTTTGAGTTATAGGGATACTTTTTTCTGATGTGCAGAAAAACGGCGGGTAATGGGATTATTGCCTGGTCTGTGGCTGCACTGCTGGTTCTGGGAGATTAAAAGAACCTGTTGCCAGGGAAAAAAAAACTAGCAGGCTTGTAATGTCAAGGGGCGTTATTGGCTACAAAGAAAAAGCAGCTCCTTTTTTAGGGGTCACCATCTGTGACATATACAGGGATATATCAGCTTGTATTCTGCTGTTTATTTAGTAGACAATCATGGCAAAAAGCACATTTCAACATTTCAGCACTGCATTTTTCCCTTTCCATCTGCAATTGTGAGAAAAATAAATTTGTCAGCACCTTGTAGGCAACACGACTTCACTCGATTTGATGCCCTCATCTCCCCCTGATCACTGTTACCAGAGCTCGAAAAGCACAGCCTTCACACAGGTGACCCACTATAAACCTCAGAGCACAGGTTTAGGGTTCTGCTGTAAAAACATTGACTAATTTCCTCTCTTGGAGCTGGCTTGAAAGACAGCCCAGATACGCCGCCTGAAAAGAAAGATATTGTCTGCCGGGCTGTAATCCTGGCATTCATTTCACTAAATAAACCGACAAAGGAACCGCGCGCAGGAAAGCTGGGTAATTTAATGTTGTGCTCCATGACTGTACCCCATCCAGCCTGATTGCGCAAGGTGGAAATGGAAGATTTATTTCTCCCAGAAGGGCAACAAATCAAAGGTGGAAGAAGTAGCAGCCTTAACTGACTACATCCTACATTCAAGCAGCTCTGCCAGATGAGTTTGTCTCCTCTGCATTGTACCCCAGCTCCCCCCACCTTTTTTTTGTCTGCCCCCTCCCCAGAATTAGTGTCTTGGGAGGATGTGTGGAAGACATCACACATTTTTTTTTTTTCCTCCTACCAGTTCTAGAGGATGCCTTCACAATTTCACCCCCTTGTGAAGACATCAGGAGAAATCGAGGCTCGGACGGCCTGAGGGCAGAAGAGCGCACAGGTGGCCTACAATAACAACAGAAACGTTGAGGATGTGTCTTAAGGTCAGGAACATTTCCGAATGGGGTGAAAAGGAGGCTGCTGCATTCAGTTTTTCACAGAAACTGTTTCCTTGATAGAACAGATTCTGTCTTGGCAGCTGGCTAGGAGGAGTGGGTGAAGTATACTGTTTTGGTTGGAGAAGCTGTGACCTGGAAGATGGGGAGAATAGCAGCTGACAGTGAGAAATGGCTGCAAGCTAGATGTTAAAGACTTCCATATCGAATTGAAAAAAAGGTGGAAAAATGCTGGCCTTCATTCAGGTGGCTTGCCGAAGGGTTATTTCAACTTTGTCTGATTTAAAGAAGCACTCAACTCTTCCACAGTCCACCAGTAAGACATAAAACACAGCTGGTCTCAGGAATCCACTTTCTGCTCTGTAGCAACACAGGCAGCGAGAACTGATTGTGGAGCGTGAAGGCCATGAAAATAGATTCTTTTCAACAAAATCGAAACAAATGCTTTAAGAAACACATTGAAGTCTCCTAACGTAATGATTCCTATTACATGGGACGTTGTTCAACTTTATTCCCTTTCTTCTTGTGCAACAAAATACGTTCCTAATAAAATTAGTAGTAGTTGCTGTCATACTGGGTCCTCCTGCTACACACTATCCCAGTTTACCTCAGTTCCTGGGTTCACAGGTTGGACTGCTTTGATGTCTGCAATGAGTTGTTGCTTCAGTAAACAATAACATACAATTTCACCACATACAGATGGGCTCCACGGTAGAGTTGGGCCAATTGGACACGCATTATTTTCAGTGGACGTATCTCAGCTGTGACCTGGAGACCCCAGGCCATTCATCAAGACCACCTTCCTACTCAAAGTTTGCCTTAACTGAGGTGCTTCAAAATAAGAGGTTCTAATCTCCTAAACTGTGGTACCACAAGTGGGGACTTTAGTTCCAGTTTCTCATTCCAGGAACATTTCAATAGCACTGATTTTCAGGATGGTCTAAAATGATTGCACATTTATTGGTGTCTTAGTCTATTCTCCTGTGGCTTCAACATGACTTCACCCTGATTTACTACAGTAGACCATTAGAATAGTATGGTGTGTTATAGTTAACATGCCTTTGAAACATTAATCAAGATATATCACAATATCCCCATGGTCCAGTGTAGCAAAGTACAATACATGCAAGTTGATACCTTAGGAGCTCACAGGAAAATGAGGCACAGCAAAAGCTAGAAATGCAGTTTCATGAAAGGTTCTAGAAAATCCTGTCTTTTAAATCTTTAAAAATTTCAACAGGTGCAGAAGTCAGAAATGAAAACCAAACGACAAAGCCCTAGTATTTATTTTTGTCTTGAGCTACATCGAACTATGCCTACATCTACCCAGTATTGGTACCGAAATGTAGTTGGTGTCTCCCAGGGTGCTGAAACCGAATACAGACTCTTTCTCCTTACAGAGCACACTCCCCTTGCTCACGTGGTAAGTCTACATCTGTGTTTAAACTGTGCCACACTAGATTTTGATTTGTTATGGCTGAAAGTGGATATGTATATGTCTGTGACGGGGACTTCTGTGCATTGGCACAAAAAGGAGGGGAGCAAGCAGGGGTTTTTAAAAACGTCAGCCCCCTTGAGATGCAATCACAGAGTTCCCAGTCAGTGTATCCAGTCATATCACTCTCCAGTTCCAGTCCCACAAGGTGGACTGAAATAATTTGTCATTACAGGGGGCGATTTGCATACAAGCTGACAAATTATACTGATGTAAGGTGAAAGAAAGAATGATTTTCAGAGATACTCAGCACAAAATAACAGAAATGTGATGAGAAGTACAAAAGATAATGCCTATGATAGATCTGAATCCAGATTCGGTGTTCCTCAGTAGCCCTGGGATATTCCTAGAAACAGTTTCAGGTAGTAAGAAACCCAGTAGTTATGTGTGGAGCTTTTCGAGCTTGTGAAAGAATTCTTTTGTTGAATAAAAAGATCTTGTGGATAAGGTATGTGGTGGGTAACTACACACACACGGGTGCACACACACACACCCCCATCTTTAGTTTTCTGCACGGCACAGCCTCAGGGCTGATCCAGAAAAGGTGTATGATGAGATAATGACTTTCTCAAATATAAACACTGTTCCCAGAGAAACAGCACGCACCTTGCCATTTCTAGGAACCAAAGCATCGAGAGGTTGTCCATAATAAGGGAAGGGTAAAGCTGTGCGAGGGGCGTGTTAGGAATAAGTAAGACGTGGTGTTTCATATATAGGGGGAAAAACAGGACTCAGCAGGCCGATGAACACATAAGCCACCATTGTAAGTCTGAGCAGTCTTTTGGATGCTTTATAAATGTGGTGCTGAGTGTTTTCTTTGGGAAATAGGAAATTGAATGACTGGCTACCTGCTATAACAACATCCTGTATTTAAGAAGCTGCTTTTTTTAACCCATACCCACCTATGATTTCCCTTTCCCATTAAATATAAGTAGTCAGCCAGCAGATGACATACCTAATAAGTTTCAGCAGTGTTTTTTAGTGCCTCACTCCTGTTCTGATCAACTTTCATATTCCGTAAAGCATCTGCTACAGGATGGACATCACACCCCTTCCCAGCCTCAGGACACTTTAAATTTGAAGTTAAATGTTACCAAATGATTGTATCAGAGTCAATACTACTCCACAGCCAAGACAGTATTTAAGAAGAGGGCATCTTAAGCATTCTGCCATTAGTTTAGGGTTACCTCGTGACTTGCTTCCTTAATAAGAGCTGGGTGCGGTTTTCCGGTGCTACCTTTATCCATTCAGTATTGTTTGTTGGAATGAGTACTTACAAAAATAAAATCAGACCCTGAGTAAAAGTCTATACTGGACCAAACTGGGGATTAAAAAAGTGATTTTTAAGACTTCAAAGTGATTTCAAGCAAATCCTCAGTTATTTGTCAAAAGGTTTTTCACCTAAGTGTGAGACTAATTAACACCCCACTCTAGTCTCTTAATGGAGTTCTTAACATAAGCTTGGAAGAAGACGAAGCCTAAACTTGACCACTTTCACTCGTCTTAGCATAAGTAGGAGGTTTGTAAGTCCCTTCCCAAGTGACTGTAACTTCACATGATGACTCTAAGGAGTGTTTACAGTAGAGCACTATGGTATAAAATAGTACAGCACAGAGAAAGCATGATAATACTACAGAAAAATCATTACAAAAGTAAAGTTAAATTGTGGTAAGAGTGTGAAAGAACTATGATTAATTTACTGGGGGTAAACTTTCATTGCATTGGAAGACAGTTTTGGGAGTAACTGCTGTTTTTCTTGCACAATCGTGACAGCATTCTAAGCAGAAGCAACAACACAGACAAATATAAAACACATGTAATACACATAGTATTTTACATTAAAACGGAATAGGAGCCAAGCTTATATGATGGAAGGATTTTTAATTTATGGTTGCTGATTGAAAAGACGTTAATTTATGCAGTATTTTTGGATACTGCTGCCCATGCAGTCCAATGACAAGCTACATAAATAATATTACAAAGGACAATTAATTACAATACCGGCTACAACATTGTGGTTTCTTCTCACAGCACCCAATATTTCACCAGACTTGCTGGAAGAATGTCTGTAGGCCTAACATAAAAAATAGCTTTCTTAGATTTATGGAGACTTTTATTAACTTTTATGAATATGCTACACCTGTATTTGTTATTTGTGAAATACACCAAAAATAAAACATAGGAAAATATTATCAACAATTATATTCTAGAAACAGCCTTATAGAAAACAGTATAAAAAACATCCTCTGAAATGCTTAGCTAGGGAGCTATGTTTGGAATGTGTACTGCATCACACGTTTTTGAAGATATTTGCGCAGACCTGATGGGGTGAAGGTCATCACACAGTTCAAAGGTCCTGGGTTTGGATTGGCTCTTGAGCTTGTCTGTCTTGAGTCTGCATAGTTTTCCCAGGGCCTCCTGCTTCCTCACGGCCCCCAGAGACACGCAGGCTATGTTCTCCTGAATGATCCCTATCCTTCGGGATTCTTCAAGGGGATTTCACTCTTAAGGGTTTGTTCCCTGTACAACCAGTACTGGCTACGGCACTACGAAGAAATGGGACCAAACGACCTGTTATCATCTGTGGACTTTCTGATGTTCAAAATATCTGTCTCACTGCTGGACAGGCCACAATTTCCTACCGGCACTAGCATGAGGTTTAATGTCTGCTCAGGTGAGACACCCAAGTAAACAAGCTGCCAATATTTCCTTTGCTGAGTATACACTTGCTTGCAAAGCACACTGACAGAGATCAGAGTGTGAGATAAAGGACGCAACCCCGTCCTCTTTGAAAAAAAATAAGTTCTCCCTGAATGATTTGACACTCTTTTTTTCTAGACTGTGGTGCCACAAAAAAGACAAAAGTAATCTGTGACCCAAGGCAGCTTCGTTCTTAAAAGGGAAGTGTAATATGGCTCATTGGTGCTGGTTATGGGGGAGGGGGTAATGCCAACTCCTTGAAACATAGACAGTTCAAGTTCTCCAGGAGCTGTAGACCCGGTCTTCTGGACCAGTGAAGTTAGCAGATATCTAGGGAGTGGCGTTGCACATACTCTGAGCCCATAAATGACTATGATCGAATGCTGGACTGGGGAGGGGCAAAAAGGTATAAAAGAAATTCACCTTTCCTAAATTCATTAGACCATCACCTTTTTTGGGGGGGCAGAACATTTTACTAAAACCTGATTTTTTGTCGTTTTCTTTGGCCATAATACTTCATGCTGCAGTCTCTGTGGTCTATCTTTAGTGAAGACCCAAATGACGACTGTCAGTCAATGTCAAGACAAGGGCCATCACCACAGAGAAGCACCCTCACCCCTTCATGGTGACTACTTATCCATGTCCACACTATCTGCTGCCCAGATCGTCCATGTCCATTTTAGGACAAACACCTCCTGGTACAGCCCTGAACTCATAGGACGCCTCTCCCCTCATTCCATATTCCAGATTTAGGATTTGCACAAACCAAGCTTAACATGCAAACACATCTGACACACAGGCCTGTCATTGTCTCTTTCGTGTGAACTAGAAATATTCGCAACAGGAAGTATGTATCAATTCACAAGAGGCAGCTGCCTGCTCCCTTGGCAGTCGAAGTCTTTTGGTTCACCAGCTCTCAACTCCATCCTCTAAGAGCCCCAGAGGGCTTATCTCAGCTGCAGTCCGCAGGGCGAAGATCAGGCAGTCTGCTCACTCGGAGCTGGGGGAAGCTGCAGAGTCCACCTCGTCTGTCTCCAAGTCGTTCGGGGAGGCTGGCTGTCCACCTTTCACCCTTTTCCACTTCATGCGTCTGTTCTGGAACCACACCTTCACCTGCGCAGGACACAGAGGGCAGGTTACAGCTGCAGAAAACAGAAAGGATCTAGATGCCGAACAGCAGCTGAAGGGTCCGGATTGCTTCACAGCAATGCCCCCCCTCACCTCTCCCGCTCCAGTGCTGTCACAAGGAGACGGATATCTGCGCAGGGGTGCCAAGAATTTTTATGAAGTTTTGGTTAAGCCAGCGTGTGCAATGCAAGCCCCTCACATTCAGGACTATTTATTGCCTGGTTACTTTCTTTCTGGCTTTAATATAGTGGACATTTTATAATTTAGAATCTTTTCAGTATATTTATCCCTTCCAGTCCTTTTGCCAAGTACAATGAACATATTTCATGAATATAGTTGTTGCCTGAGCCTCCAAGGGTAAGAAAGCCTTCAGGTATGGATGTATCACATTTTGAGTTTTTCAGCTGTCTACTGGGAGTAAGTATTCTATTTATTTGAATGTGGTCTTATTCAGTACCTGCACAGCACCATTATAGAGACTACATACTGTACATATTTGTAACAACATTCATATTCATGTGATTGTTGTCCTGAAAATATAAAAGATACTTCAGTATCTTTTAATGACACAATATTTAAGGACATTTCTTAGTGTTAGGATTGCGGCTAAGGTCAGGTGTAGATACTCATGTATTATCTTTTGGTTTGATTGTAAAGAATTACAAATGCTGTTATTGCATCACACAATAAACATCTGGAGGTGTTACATTGACTGCCTAAGACCGCATTCAAACAGAATGTTACCCATAGAAGGCACACAGTATAATACCAAGTCAAAATTAAAATGCATGATATAGCAAATTGGATATCGTCCTTATATTTTGTGGTCACATGCAAATCAAAACATATGTTTGAAGTATTAAATTCACTGCATTGCAACAACCCTGGTTTCCAGACTATGGAGTAATTCTGGCTCTCAATTTAAAGAGGCAACAGGGGAGAATGTCACTCCTCTTTGAAAAACAGATGTTTAGAAGTGTGAAGATAGTGTTCCTGTTTACAAGAACAAATAAAGATTTCCTGAAACTATCCTCCTTGCCCCAGAACATATTATCAAAGGATGTGACAAAGCACTCCTCACTCCCTGGGCAATTACCTTATTATCCCCAATTTCCCCAAATTTCAAAGGTCCCTTTTCCATGACCCTCTCAAAAAATCAACGCTCACCTTCATCACACACTGATGTAGCTCCCATTGCCAGTGTTTGATAACCTTTTACTGGCTAATACACAAACTACCTGGAGTAATGCTTAATATCTGCTTTTGTAAATGTCCTTCTGAACACCTGCTGCAATTGACATGATCAGATAGTCCATGGCTACTGGGCTTATATTGGGTCAGATACACAACTAACTAATGTAACTGAGCAATTAAAAAATTAAACTGGCAACTGGAGACAAGAATGTTGGTTATGTGCCCAGGTTGTGAGTCACTATGACATCATTTCCTGAGAGCCCAGCCTGGCCTCTTCCTGTGTGGGCTGGGCTCTGGGGAGGCTATCTGAGACCTCTGCGCATCCCTCTCTGGATTCCCAACAGCAACACAGGAACACAGACAATCTGTTCCCACACTATTTTAAGCTCATCGCCTTGTCCGTTACTGTCTGTCACCCGTGTGACTGTGAGGATCACATGCTGCCAAGAGATGTAGGTTGCAATGGAAAAAAGAAGAAACTTCTGTGTGCGTTCTCAGTGGGGGGACCTGCCAAAGCCCAGGACATCACTGGAATCTGGCTCACGTTTATAACACAAGCCTGGGAAGTTCATCTGGGCTCAGCCCCTGCCACGTGCGGCCATTAAAAAACCACAGCACAGCTGAAGAAAATGGAGGGGGAACTATGAAAGCGTTTTGCTCTTCCTGATGTAAATGATGTAACACAAAGACTCCGCCGAGGTTGAAGGCTTGTGAGGTTCTGGAAAACAAATCTCCTGCTCGGCTTTTGTTGCTGTATAAAATCAAATGCGTATCGATCAATTAAAGCTGAAAGTTGTTTTCTCAGGACCGAGGCTCACTTGAAAAATACAAGTTCCCTTTTTTCTTACATTTGTGAGACCACCATTCTGAAATCCTACTTTTCTGAAGGTGCTTTCATTCAAAGGTAGAGCTAACTAGCAAATATTTAACCAGAAAGGCTCTGCTCCACTGAAACAATGAAACTGGATTGAAAAAAATAACAAATCTGTGCCTAGCTCTTACTAGCTAACAGATTTTGACCGAGCCAGCACTGTTATTACCTGTCTCTCAGTGAGGTCCAGATTGACAGCGATCTCATATCGGCGCAGCCTGGTCAGATAGTTGTGGTGAGAGAATTCAGCCTCCAGTTCGCGAAGCTGCTCCTTAGTGAACGCTGTCCTTTCCTTCCTGGCCTTACTGTTGGAATCTCCTTTGTAGTTGGAGTCTTGGTTTTCTGAAAGACAGAGACATCTCCGAAGGTGAGGTGGATGTCTTTTCAAAGAAACTCCAGCCTCACGAGAGGGAAGAGAGGACGAGAATGGAAAGGGTCGCCATCCCATCATTCTCTGCTCTTGTCCAACATTCTACGTCAGCAGTTATCATTCCTAGTCCAAAAAGTTCACTTTTTCATCCGAACTGACTTTAAAATTCTTTGATTCAATACATTAATAGCTTATGTAATGTTTACGTAGCTCGTTCATTAAGAGACCCTTGATTTAGGTTTAAAAAAATACATAGATCGGGTCATCATGCTCGGGCCATTGTTATTACAAACCAGGTACTTATTTCAAACTACCTGTTGATGTTCAGGAAGTAGCACAGTCATTTCAAAGTCATGTTTTTCCGGTATTTTAAGAAATTGATCATGTGAATTTAATTAATACTGAATAAATATAAATGTACTGAATTGTGGCTCACTGGGACTTTAACACGTCACTCCATTGTAGAGTGTTTTCTTGTGGTGCCTAGTTGGAGTGTGAAGCTGTGCATTAGATTCAAAGATAAGACTTGGCAAAGCACCATCATCCTTACATTATTTAGATGATGTTTTCATCAAAGAGGACTTAACATTCTTAATAAGTACTGAGTAATTCTGACTACTGAGAGCACAAAAGTTTCAGTGAAATAAAGCTGTAGCCAAGAGTTGTATGAGCAGAACTAATTCACCAGATTAAAGTATTACAAATGAGAGATTTTTTAGCAAAACATTATAGTTTTAAATGAGATGTCACTAAATTTCAGTTTAATAACATGCAGACTACAGGAAAGTCTAAATATATTTGATATATGTATAGTAATGCCTAATTTGCTCGAAGAGAAATTCCATTAATCTGACTGGGATGATCTCGTTCATGCTTTCTGTTAAGTTAAGGATTAACAGGCAATACGCAGGCAGCAGACAGTGATGAAGGGCTACACGGGCACATTGCTGTTGTATGTTCTGCTGATGCGTACCGTGAGAAGAGTTTTCTGAGGATGGGTACTGACCAGAGGGCTTGTATTAAGAAAGAATGCAGCGGAACACCATTTAAATCTCTGGCACATGTGAAGGACTTTCCAAGATGAAAGACTTAACTGGACACTCTTAACCATATTTCATGCCTTAGAATGAGCAGCAGACCAGCATAACCTCAGTTATATATCATTAAATCTGCATGAAATGCTACCGTAAATGTAGCTGTAAAATAACTGGATTTATATTTATCAGGTGTCTGCAGCATATTCATTCCCTGTATTCTGCTCACAAATATATTTTCTTCATTGATAGATGTAACATTTTCCTGCAAAGAATTCTTGTGGTCATGACAAAAAGACAATCCATCCTTCTCAGGTGGTTTAGCTGATTAAAGAGTGCCTTGGATGGTGATCGCACAGAGGTTGTATCTCACCCTGCAGTGACTGCAAGCTCTCTGTGGTGGAAAGAAGGCTTATATCTAAGAACAAGCCCTGGAGGCAAAGCAACAAGAGGGAATAACTCAAATACCAAAGGTATAAATGCCAATTAAACATAAATGGGTCACATGTTGGCTTTAATTGGTCAATTACCAATTTCCATTTTTATTATCGATATCTTGCTTTGTGGTTTGGCAGTCAGTGCTGTGACTGCCTTAGGTCCTCGGTTTGGTTTTGTACTCCTTTTGCATGGAGTTTGTATGCTCATCCCATTTTCAGAAGGCCCTTGGCCCGGTGCACTGGGTTCTGCACACTCTTTGGAGGTGGGATGCAAGAGACATGCAAGAGAGTGGTAGGGATCATGTAGGTATTTATAACATTTGGAAGAGGAATGGGTTGTCAGGAGTGATTGCTAATTACTGACAGCAGAGTCTGATTGAACCTGGTTGTTGTCATCCCTCCCTAACTTTTGTTATGAACTTAATTTAATGGATGGATCTTGCTTTGTTTAATCATTTTAGAAAAAAAAACAAACAAAAAACAAAATCACTGTAAAATAGTTCACATGAAATGCTCGGGCCATTGTTATTACGGACCAGGTGCTTATTTCAAACTACCAGTTGATGTTCATGAAGTAGCACCGTTCCATTTCATCTCATTTTCCAAGTCAGGACATTTTTATTCTACAAAAATCATTTGCCATTATTTTGCAGAATAGTGCTGGAAAATGAGCTGATGAAATCCTTCTGAGATTCCGGTCATATGTCACTGAGAAAGCATCCTCAGCCCAGCCAGTCCTGCCACATTGTCATCCAAGAGCAGACGAAGCCACTGGTTGCAACAGACTGTCAAAAGTGCAGCGGCCAGCTATACAGTGCGTTACTGTGGAGAAACCACGCGTGTGACATCAGACTTCATAAAACAACTTGCGGCTTTTTTCTTCTGTAGAGCGTGTCTCATTCTTCTTTTCCCTGTCTGAAAACCGCACGAAATCTGTCAGTTTCTTTTATATTCTGGCTGTCTGGACTGTAAATGTATATATATAGGAGCACTTTTGGTAGACACCTCGCAATTTTGGATTTTAAGTTTCCGAGTCGTCTAAAAAACAGCCCCAATAAATATTCAACCAAAACCCTGTTAACTCCGGGCAGCTACTGAGCCCGGCGGGGGGTTTAGACAAACACCATTTGGCAGAAGCTGGAAAAGGGTGGTAAAGTCATTCATTTCCATTAACACTTCACTGGGCCACGTTGTAAAGACCTAATTGCTTTAAAAACAAAACAAAAACCTGCAGGGAGAGAAGACCTGTCTTTTTAAACCAAATGCGTGTTGGTTTTCTTAGCCCATCTCGAACGGCAAGGTGTTCTTAGCCTTTCCGTCTCGTAACAAGCAGATTTTTACTCATTGTAGCCGGATATTTTTTCACTGACTTTGGAAAAAAAAAATCAAATACCGCCCACGGTTTTCCTAAATGCGCAGACATGCAATAGATTTTACAGCTTTCATTTATTCTTACTTTGTATAGCTTTCCTTCAAGACATAGGTATTCAAGCATGTCTGCTGGTTTCAGGAGTGCCAGAATTCAACAGTTTTTAGGTACTAATCGTAAAACCATACCTTAACAAATCTGTTTATTGCCAAAAAAAAAATGAGATAACACTTTACACTTAGGATCTCTGCCGTCCTTCTGTTCAGATAGATCTCACCATCGCCACTGCAAGAATACTAAAAACAGCTGTTGAAATTACTTTGCAGTTCAGGAGAACTGATATGGTTTAAGAGTAAGACTTTTGAGCAGTAATCATGTTAAAATAAACAACAATAATGTGCGATTGCAAGCGCAAAACACGCTATTTTCTTGATTACATGAGGGAACTTCTGAAAAAATACTCAATCCACTCTGCCTCTGGATTCCAATTTTCTCTTTCTTATAAGTTAATCACATTTACTTCTGGCCCATCAACTTTGGGCTTTGCATCAACACGTTCTTGAAGTAGATCCTTAAATCTAAATGCAGAAATTCCGTACTGCTTTGTGACTGCTAGGCAGAAAACATTATCATTCTAGACTAATAACGGCCTACATTGGTCTTCGAGGTCCACAGTTTTTAAACTTATTTTATCAATGCTTAAAGATGTGGAAAACAAACGTAACCAAGTACCCATAATAAAAAAAAAAACATCGGGATATTAAACAAGAAAAACTTTCCCTACAGACTTTTATGCTAGCAATCCGAAAGTACAAACAGAGCTCGCTCAAATGGAACTGTTCGCCATCTGTCTTTAAACACTCAGATTAATTAAGAACAATTGTTCTTAATTTGTTCAGGATCTGCAAGTTTAACCTAACTGCAAACAAATGTATCGGGTTGTCATTTTAGTACTTGTACATGGGTTTGATTCATACATTAAACTGTCTTGAATAATCCATATGTGTCTTAACCATAAATAACCCATACATACATTTCCAAATACAGTTCTACTGTATGGCGTTTATACACGACTTGTTAACTTGATATCCTGCAGAAAGAGAACTGTGCAGCTCTATACATCATTCGTATAAATGCGAAGTTGTGCATTAAATTTCTGTTAGTCTCCATTCTGTTAATAATTATCTAGTCGGCGAGATACATTTATATATATATATGCTATATTTCAAGCCCCGTGAACGAGCTTTTACAACCTGTTTTTTTGAAGGCTGTTAAGAGACAGGCGCATTCGTCACATCATGTGCAGTCACAGGTGGAGTCGATTATCCTGTCAAACTCCTGAGCGTCACCCATCAGCAGCACTTAACAAACGTCTGCTTTAGAGTTTTACGAGGCACACCTTTTAGAAATACGGTGTCTTTTCAGAACAAACAGTTGCTGTGAATTGTGTTTCGTGAAGACGAAAATCAGTTCGGTTTAAAAAGCCTTGATTATAATGAGCTTTAAGGACGGGAACTTCTCTTCGGAAAATTGAACTCATCGCACGACAGAAAAATGAACGAATTAAACGAGGAAGATCATGTTTCAGTTAAAAGACAGGGCAATGTCAACAAGTGATAATAGAAAGAAAAAATATTCACGAAATATAGCTTTGTCCTGTTCCTTGAAGGTAGCCTGTTTAATAATTTAGTTTAATAAATTAAGTTGAATTAGCTGTTAAATATGTGTTACTACAGTACATCTCTGATTCTTACATTCTGCTCGGTGCCTGTTTTCGTATAGATAATGCACTAATACTACTAAAATTGGAGTAAATATACAATTAATAATTATGTGTTTTTATTACTAAATTATAATTTCATTCACGATTTAAGAAAACGGTGCTGCATTGAATTGAACCATTGGCATGTTTCCGGTTTCTTTAATATGTATGCCGATGAAACAAAAAGGTATCTTTACCTCTGTAAACCGTGACACAGTTAGTATAAGGTACATAAAAGGTAAAATTGTAAGCCTGTCAACTAAATATAAAAGCAAATAAGAAGGAATGTTGTGAAACAAATAATTTAACCCGGTATCAAGAGCGGATTAAAGTAAATGAGACGCCCTCGAATTTGAGCACCACGGTGACGCAGGGGTTAACGGTGCTGCCTCACAGATTGCGAGTCCTGCACTCTATACCAGCCTGGGACTCCTTCTGTGTGGAGTCTGTATGTTCCCTCTGAGTGGGGTTCACCGGTTGCTACTGTTTACTCCCACTGTGCAGAAAGGTACCACCTAGCTCTCGTCTATGGGTGGATCTGTGTCTCGGCCAGGATGTATCCCGCATTGCGCCCGGATATTGAAGATGATGAGAATGTGATTCACAATTTGTTAGCAACGCTTTTTTTCTCGAGTCACACAAGACATAATTATATTACACAATATGACACAGTATTAATATATTAGCATGCTTTATAAATTATTTCTAACCCCTTTTAAAGAACTAGGCAAAATATTTTAATCAAGTCTAAGTTTTAGCTTTTTTCAATAGTCTAGAGGTGATGGGATTACTAAATTATAATAGTTTAAATTGTATTTTTTTAAATAGTTTTAGTAGTTACAGTTGTCTAAAGCATTGTGAGTGCAGTGAAATTAAAGTTTGCATGTTCATATCCATAAAATATAAAATCTCAAATTTCAATGTGCTTTTTATTGATTTTTAATACACAGTGAATAATTTAGTAATTCACAAAGCTATGGGTTATTCAATCTTTCTTTAACATAATAGCTGTACATTATTAGTATTTCTATTTTATATATATATATCTGCTAGACAATATGAAGCAGAAAGGAGTTATTTAGCTTTAGGTGATTAATTTGCAGAACACCAGAACCACAACCCTTTTCTGCTGCACTATACTAAGCTTTCCCACAAAGCTGTGTCAAAGTGGTTAGATCACCAGAACACAGATATTTGCATAAAAAGGCACAGGTATGTGGACTCAGAACAAATTTTTGTTTTACAATCACGGACATCCATTTACTAAGCTGGAGGTCCATTGACTTGGCAGGGCACCGACTGGAACAATACAAGGATTTCAACCCTGGACAGTGGTCCACAGCCCTTACACCTTACTCTTACTACTGTCTTTAAGACATTTTTACAGTACATGACACTGTTCATCTGGTCACATCTAAAGGGTGAGGTTTTTACAGAGCAGAGAAGAAATTACAGTGAAGATCTTCTACACATCTTCATCACACATCCAATCATACATTTTCTAATTGATTCATCCAGTTCAGGCCTGTGGGGGAGTTGAAGCCTGTCTTGGCCAGTAACAGGCACAAGGTGCGATAAACAAAGGATGGGATGCAAGTCTATTGCGGGTCACACATAGACACGCACTAACTCACACCTAGCGCCTGTTTTCCCAGAGGTTAATTAACCTACTAGCGTGTCTTTGGACTGTGGGAGGAAACCGGAGCAGCCAGAGGGAACCCATGCGAACATGGGGAGAACATGCAAACTCCACACAGACAGCCAGAATTGATCCCAGGGCCCCAACACTGCGAGGCGACAAAGCTGAGCACCGATCCACTGTGCCGCCCACTTTAGCGCAGATAACATCCCAGAATTTCAAGAGTTAAAATCCTGAGTTTTAAATTTCAGATCCTGGCTTCTATTTCGGATATTTCTTAAACCACGCACCCAGTTTAAATTGTCAACAAAAGCCTAAAGTGCCTAAAACAGAGATTTTACTTTTTTGGGGGGGAAATCAGATTTTTTCTGCTCATAGCTACAAAGTGTCTTCTGGGTTTTGTACTGATGCAGCAATAAATTATTGATGATTTAGTCATAAACAGCATCTATCTCAGGTCAGGCATTAAACCAATTATTTAAAGACAAAGTCAAACCTGCAGAATTACTGTACTCCATAAATTGTCATAGCAGTATATATACTTGTATACTAGAACCATAGTCTCTTTCAGATTAGCATGGAAACGATTCTCCACAAACTGCAGCCTTTAAATTAATCAGTTATTTGGAATACCTGAAATAATTCCAGTATGGTGTCTCATTCCCGTGTGAGTTCAGAATTGCCCTGGATAGAATTATTTTATGTCAAATCAACGTGAATCATTTTAAAGTAAACCAGCTGTATTTGGTGGTTTGAAGAATTGAACCCATGACTGTAAAACAGTTTCTGGGATGTCTTGCGATTAAGCAAGGAATGGAAATGTGAGCCATTATTGAATTATTATTTATAGCTCAATCTTGACATTTTATTCCATTATTAAAAATATGTTCTTGTACGTAAAGGATAAAGAATCAGAGACACAGAGACAAACACATGGCATAGACATTGTATAGAACATTGCATAGATTCATGGTCAATGCTTTTGAATTCAAGACTGGATTCATCCCAATTTTTCTTTCAGTTTCCTGTGGTGTGCTTTGTAGATACTGCAGTAATTTTTCCTTGTCTTGGGAGTGACAGCATGATCACTTGTGTCCCGGTTAGAAACTTTCATTCATAAGCACAACTCTGTCACATTTTATGCTTCATGCCAACTGAGTTCACAGGACAGAGGAGTGCGATTCTGGGGTGTAGCGGTCACTACACTTCTTGATGTGTTTATAAAAAGGAACTCCATACAATTGGAGGAAAGGACTGTTTTGACTGCTGCACTGTTAGAATAGCAATTTGTTATGTGTCATCTCTCTGTTTTTGTGAGCCCAGTCAGATGGGTGTCAATGGCTTTAAAAACAGATGCAGCAAATGCTTAATCATGCAAATGCTGGGCTCGGCCGACTCTATGTTCAGGTAAAAAATAAAAAAGCATGTAAGATGCACCAGAAGTTCTATCACCTGTATAGATAATATTTTTTATTTTTTCAATGAGTTACTGAGAAAAAGGTGGGGACCCATGTATATTTATTTTACCTTATTGCTTCCATATTAAAAGCTTATGTGGCTTTGATATATCTAGAGTCTTCTAACTGCTGCTTTATGAATTAAATTGTTGTCTCATTTTGGCACATATATTTTCAACTTACTAGTTTGCGTACTTAGGACATTACTATTGGTTTTTTTTTTTTAAAAAAACTTTGTTCTGGGTTAAAAGGCTTAGAGAATAAACCTATATATTTTTTGTAAATATTCCCTGATGAATACACTATTATTAAGGTATATAGAAAATAAAGGATAAAAGGTGTCATCTGTAACTTCTGTTATACTTTGTGTTGTAAGAATCTTTGTTAGAAGCAGTAATATTGGTACCTCCAGCAGCTGTTTTAGATTCACTAGTAGAATTTTAAGTTTTTGTAAAACAGTTTTTTCACCCTGCCTGCACGTCACTGTCTAAATGAAAAATTGTTCTGTGATGTACTGAATTATTCTATACTGTATATATTCTAATGTTGAAGACGTGTATAGTCTTCAGATGGACTTGTTCTGGTCCCGAGTTAAAGTAAGAAAAGTTCCCACTGATGGGACAGCAGAGCTGAAGAGGAGGACAGCGTCTCTAACAGTTTTGTAAATGATGAGTGGATATGACTAAATGTTAAATTCGCTGTGCAAAGCAAAGGCCAGCTTTTCCTTGACTTCTTTCCACATTAACAATGATGCCTCCGCTGTGATGAGATACGTGTTCTCTTCTAGTCTGAATTAGGCTTGTGGACTGTTTTACTAAAAGAATGAACAATTTTGGGATTAATACCGTAAACACTGTCGTACAGCTTTTCTTTCTTAAAGGCTTGAAGCTGACCCAGTGCGTTCACACAAGAGGCTTGTTGTGTATTTTGTATAGTTGTTGCGTATTTCTGCGTCATCTCTAGTTAATTTTAGAGTTTTTACCAGCTGCTCATTTGATATTTTTCATTCCTGATGATAGAAGCAAGGAAGTTGCTTTATGTAATTAAGAAACCCCTGTAAATATCTCCAGAGATTCACAACTGAAATACCTTCTGTATGAGGAACACGTGCTGGCTCACAAGTCTCTCTATCACCTCTGTCAGGCCCTGCAGACGTTTAAAACCCAAATATGATCTGCTGACAGGCTATTAAGCCTCTCCAGGAGAATACATTCCTGCCCTGAGTGGTAACTGACATTTCCTGGTGGGTAATTGTTTTATGACAATCCAACCCAGCTGATGATGATAAACAAGAGAATTTGAAATAATGCCCATATCATGCACAAGAAGCAGCACACCGAGACCTGTGGATGATGAAAATTAGCATCTTTGCTTCATTTGTCTTGCATTTTACCACTAAATGATAGGGAACAGGGTCACTTACTGTCAGCTGGTGTATCTGAATTTGTACAATGTACGCTATAGCGCTCGGTCAGCCATAACTGGCTGGTCCCCACTCACCTGATAGCTCTCTTTTTCTCTTGGAGGACTTTTTTTCTGTCTCTGTGGGTGCCATCCCATGCCCGCTGTATTCACCATCCAGGCACCCTGGTACTGACACTGGCAGCCTGTCAGCCCCTCCAGTCTCCATCTCGGCGCTGCTGCTGCTCATGGGAACTGATGCCAAGCAGGGCTCCTGCCGGCTGCGGGCTTCAGTGGGTGAGAACTGCCACTCAGGGCGCTGGAACCCCGAGTGTTGCTCGACATATAGTCTCTCGTCCCGGGGGTAGGCATGGGGTGCAGACACCAGGCAGGAGGTGGAGAAATCCGTGTAGGCCAGGAATTCAGGCTTCTGATGAAAGGAGAATGGGGCTTGCTGATAAGGCTGGAGACCTGGAGGTGGCACCCCCGAATGTGGGTTCCGCATGCACCCCCAGATTGGGCTGCCGGGGTGGGAGCTCCTCATACAGCTGCTCGCTGGCTGATCCATGAGAAATCGAAGTCACAGTGTCCTTTTTGTTCGATAAAACAAACGGCTCTGAATCGAAACTGGGAAACGGAATCCTCTCTGCTTTGCTCAATTTTAAAAAAGCATCGTTGCTCAGCTGCATCTACCTTGAAATGCTTTCGACTGGAAATCTGGATCTCCTTGCAGCATCTGTCTGGAGGGAGATCTTAAGGAATTTTTCCTTTCCTTGTCACGTACTCCACTGGAGTGAACCCTAGCAAGTGATTTGCCTGGCTGTGCTGCTCTGCATCCTCTCTTAACTCCTGTGTTGTTTTCACAGTTCTAAGGCATTCCCGACAAGTGATCCCCCCTCTCTTTTAAATGCTTAGGTGGGAAAGAGTGGCAAGTTTATGGAGTGTAACGCGAGCTAGTGGAGGAGGAGTCCTGCAGGCCACATGTTGGTACCCTCCAACCAGCCCTGCCTCATCAAGTATTAATCATCGGGGAAATTTTATATGCACATCTAATGGGATTTCCAGGCACAGACTTTTAAAGGAACATTGTCTGTAAAATATAAAACGAACACCCACATGGGAAAGGGGCTCTTAATTCTTTACTACTTTTTTTTGAAAGTGCAGTTTTACTTCCCTCTCACAGTGTCTGCAAAGCACTACCGACACACACTTAAAACAAAAATGTGCCTCCACCCCATTTCCTCAAACCAGTTCAAAGGTCCGCACAGGCGATTGCTGTGTTCCTTTCGGACCTATTGTGATTTGTAAGCATGCAGTCAACTTTATTCACTTCAGTGCTCAGTACAGCTTTCTGTATTGCCTGTATATCTATTTACTGTATCTATTAAGCTTTGTTGTGCATGGGTCTTTGACATTGTTTTTGTTCTATTCTTTTCACTCAATAATTTTCCTTCTTTCTGCAATTCATTTGTGAGACCATTTATTAGGTACATGTGATTAAACCTGTTGAATGTCAAGCCTGTTGAAAATCAAGAAAGAAAAATACAGACAGGCAAAATTGGTTCACTTATCATGAGAATAATGCTTTTATATCACTGGTAAGTTATCTTAGGTGGACTTGTTAGCTGTGGAGCCAAGTCTTCATCAGTAATGAATCCAGGCTTTGTGTAGACCACCCTGATGTATCTCAGTGATTGTGCAGCAGAGAAGCTGCACTAGTTGCTGTGTACAACAAACCCATCAAGGAAGATGTCCAACTCTAATGGACTTGGCGGGAGAAATAGCTTTTATTTTTCACAAGTCTTAAAAATATACTTGTAAAAACACATGTAGACCTTCCATTTTGGGAACCCTTCCCAGTCTTGTTTTGATGTTCTGCATTTTGTTGCAGCCAGCAGCTCTGCTGTGATGATGGTTGTAACTCTGGATGTTTCAATTTTCAAATTCTTGCTTACTCAGTCTTTGAGTTCCGTTGCCAAAATGTCACAGGGATTTAGATTTGGAGAATGCGGCAATAGGACCAGTCTTGATTGAAATTTCCCATTAACTTTAGTTAAAATGTCTCTGCCTCATTGTAAAGACTGTCATCCTGAAAGCTCTTATATACAGCTGACTGGATAGTTTGTGTGAAGCAAAAGCCAAATATTGTAGTGTAGTTTGTTTCAGTGATACCTGCTTCGTGTTCATTAAAGCAGCTGTGTACATTTAGTAAATTGCCGTTTCTTAAAGACCCTTTGTTTTTTTATATATGTGTAAACACTGTAGAAAACTGATAATTTTTCATGTATCTGTCCATCTCTTGTCATTAAGTCGCTTATTCCAATGTGGGGTGGCTGTAATTTCCATTCAAAGAGGTTTTCATTTCATGGTTTTGAAACCTACTTCATCTGAAGTGTGTGATATCTAATTATGGATAGTATCTGATAACATCTTTATTGTCACCTGCTGCTCACCTCTAGTCAATTATTAATTGAATATTAGTGATGAATGGTTTTGAGCCAAACTGCACAATTCTGAGCTCTGTCTGTTGTTGGATTCCCCTGATGAAGCTCTGCTATGTAACAGTCAGCTGTAAGGTATTTCACATCTGTCGCTCATTTAAGCTTTGGCCTTATATGCAGATGCGAGCACCTAAAATCGTGCTCCGTTTTGTTGTGGTCCTTGGACAAGTTACAAACTCCAAGCTCATCCTGCGTGAGAACTCAGTAGGTTTTGAACCCAGATGTTGTGAAAGGATCTGACTTCAGGTTGGAGTCAGATGGACATGCAGATGGGAAATCTCACGCTTTTCCTACAACATTTCACCCTTACGAAAGGTTACTGCTGTATATTTGCAGATCTCAGCTCCTCCGAGATTTTGCCCTGCTCATACCACACACTTGCTTTGCTGTGATGGTTTGGTTAGCTTGTCTCTCTATGCTTTATCATGTTTGATTAGTCTGAATAGTTTGAAATATGTGTCATTTGCATATCATGATTTAAAAAATGACATTTGATCTTCAGTATTAGAGACCTTCATTTAAAAAAATCAATATTTAATTCAGTGTGTGGTATCTTTTGTTTCACAGTTTTGAATGATTATTTCTGTTTTTAAACTTCATGCCTCAGAGGATTCTAGTTTGTTCCTTTCCCTCTGTGATTTGGTGCTTTTGTGAACACACTTTTATTTTTATTTTCCCAAACACAGAGTACCTGTGAATAACAATAACTCTTCTCCATCCCACTACATTTTTAAATTCTTAACCATATGTATTCTAAACAACACACTTGCATTTGTGCACACTACATAGATCAGGGATTGGATAAAGTAACATGGAATTGTTAAAGACACAAAGACTGAGTAACACTTAGCAATAATTAAGAATGCATTATTAATTACCAAAGACCAGCTTACCCAATAATCAGTCAGAGTCTTCCAACTTTCATTTTAATGATGTCACAGCAGTGAACTGAGCTGAAGAATAATTAAGTAATACTGAAGGAGTCACCACTGGTGAAACTGGAGCACATTTCAGTGAAATATTCCAGCCCTGACTGTAAGTCTGCCCATTATCACATTTTTTCTTATATATATTACAAATGTACCTGAGTGGATAGTTTTGGTACAAATAATGATGTGATGACCTGGATAACATAAAAACTACAACAAGCTACCAATCAAACTCAAACTTGGCAGCAGTTTTTTTCATGTAGGCCTTGTTGATTCTAGCCAATAAAAAACTCAAATCCAGCAGTCACATTTCTGATTTACTTCAGGCCTCTTCTAACTCGCATGACAGATATTGGCTACCTTGAAAATATTATGGAAATATTATTGAAAATATATCAATTCTGCAACTCCAGTGACAGATACTTCTATCATATTTCAGCAACTTAAAACAATAATCTTTACCCTCTCTGATAAATAGAATATCCAACAAAATAATTTGCACAAACTCTTATGTATCTTCTGTATTATTAAGGTGCTGTTACTAAAGTAGAAAGTTATTGCTTTGCATCTTCTGATTTTGTATTAGGCATATAGAGCTGCAAGTTGTTTTAATAACACTGGGAAAATGCACTGTGCCAAAAGTACAATTAGAATAAATCATTGACATTAAAGATGTTTTTGTGGCATTAACAATCCTTGATATTGCTTTCATCAAACAATTTACACTTTGTGTTTGAAGTAATGGATGTGGGTTTTATCGTTGTTTCGTTTTTTTCATGTTTTCATTTGTGTAGAAATAGGTGACGATTGACAAACACGTGGATAAATAGATACAGATAGAGACAGACAGATTGATATAATGTATTCCCCTGTTCATTTATTGGGTTCCAACATTGGCATACAATTTTAATATATGTGTTTGGTCTAGGTAGGCTTACTTCATTCTGGCAAGGAAAGTGTTTTGGCTTTGTTGCTGCTATTTCAGAGCTTCAGAAAGGCTTTAAACTGATGTGTCCAAGCTGTTTGAATGAACCACATAGCAAAAGGTCTGTATTTCCAATTGCTTTCCAAGTGAAATGTCATGCATAGTAGAGTTGTGCTTTAGGAATTGTCGGGTAGTAATGGCAGAATTAGACAGACACTGTACAAAGATGGAAAACAAGAAACATGGATCATCTTTGGGCTAAAGAACTACGCAACCAAATCCCAAGAGATAAATAAGAATGGGATGAGATTTTGCAAGAGTAAGCTGGTTGCTGAATTCAGAGATGTGGAAGAACGTTCTTTATTTTAGGTTCTGGGTATTGTTTGACAGAATACCATATCAATATTCGCCTTCAAGACAAGACCAAGGTAGCACTCAATTAAATACTCAGCTGTAATGTCAATGAATGTCTAAGTTTAAGGGAAGTTCTAACCCTTATTCCAGCTAAGGGAATCTTAACCCTTTTTTTCTGTCAGATTGTCCCCAAACATATGCTTAAGAAATTGAGGTTAATTTATTGACTTTGTATAATAGTTTTTCTCTGAAAACAATTTAAGAACTAGTACAATGTTATTCATGTTTGGCATTCCGTCATTTTTTAAAATTATCAGTCACATAAAAATAAGAGTAACCAAGACACTTTGAGAAAGTTATTTTACCTTTTCAGGAATCTTGTTCACTGCACAAATTGTTAATGATGATGAGATGGGGTTGGAAAATTGTGCATGATACATGCCAATCTTATATCATCATTACTTGATTTAAAACCGACTCACAGTGAAAGAAAGCCTTTATATAAAACCAGTACCTGCTGGAGTGTTTTGTCCTTTGGGATGAACTAAGTGATGCCCTGCTGATTTCCTTTGCACTTATAACATTCCAGTGTGTGAAACAATGACATTTATCTTGCAGCATTGATGATATTGCTGCATTTGAAGCCTCAACTTATTTTTTACTCAGGTACAAAACCCTAATACAACAAAAATTAGTTAACCACTTAATTTATAAAAATGGTGTTATTAGCTATCAGCAGCATTACCCTGAAATACCTTGTGTAATTCAGAGGGTCAGTAAGGGAGTGTGAAGCTGTGTCTTCCACTCTTGGATAAACTGAGGGTGTTACTCCATAGGTGTGCCTCACTTAGTGTTCTCCGACAGACCACACTGCTAACTTTTGTTGTGCAGCTCCACTGCATCAGAGAAAGTGAGACCGTATTGTGGTGAGCCCGAAATCCATTCCATCTACTCATGGAATAGTTCAGCTATGAAGTATATTGTTTTACTGGCATTTCGTGTTCTACTTTGACCACAGCGTGGCCTGGTGACATGGGGCTTGTGGTGGGAGTTGGCTGCTCCTTGTGTGTGCGTGTGTGTTTGTGTGGGCTTGCCTCCATGTGCAGGCTGTAACCCTCTCTCACCAGGGTTGGAGAAAGGAGAAGCCTCAGCCCACTCTGCCCAGTGTGGTCTCTACG